CTCCGGTGCAATGGGCCTATGGTTATGAGCCCGATGAATTAGAGAGAAAGAATGAGCTTTTTGGTCCCAGACATTTCAAAGAATTTCAATCCATGCGTGCTCGAGCAGGTGAACTTTTCCGTGAAGAATCTGCACGTCAAGCTGTGTCTCGACTATGGAATTCTGCTCCTCGACCTTTGGTAGATTATCAGGTTGGAGACTTTGCTGTTGGGTCTTGTTCCATAGTTTCGTCTTCTGCTACTTGATCTGTCTCCATCTCCCCATCTTGCGTTTCAGTGTGTGTACGTTTGCGTTCAACCGGATATGCATCTTCCAGAATCTGAAAAGCTTGAAGTGCACGGTCAGGATGTAGATGTGGATCTTGAGCCTGGTCCATCGTGTGAAATGATTGTAAAATCTTGGGCTCTGATGCTGAGAATTGCTCGTGCTTCCAAACCTGAACAATTCTTTTCGCAAACTTCACAGGGTAAAAATATGTTCTTGCAACTGCGTGTGTTCCCAAACCCAAAATACTCTTGTGTGTATGTTGTCCGTCACATGTAATTCCAGCATGTATATGGAAGTGTAGGTCACTTGTCAGAATCTGCCACAGCTTGTGTAGGTGATTGCCCTCTTCAGCCAACAAACCAACCATACATCCATGGACCACTGTTCTGTAGAGAGGTTTGGAAAAAGTTGCATTGTACCATTGTTCAAACTGTTCCAATTCACGAAGTCTCCAGCCTTCCGTTGCGTTCTTCGGCCACTCAAAGTAGAAATCTGTCCCGGGGTCCTGGAGCAGTGCTTGGCGAAAAATCTCCAAGATGTGCCGAAGTTGCTTTCTTGATCGCAAACGCATTCTCCGCAAATTGTTCACTGGTTGTGGTGTCCGTTGGTTGATGTGTTGTATCGAAGTGCAAGGAGGGCAACGCAAAGATGCTCCAATTTTTGTCGGGCAATCCCTCTTCAGTTCATTAATCGCTTCATCTACGCACTCTGACTTCTCAAGGCCAAAACCCGCTTCAATAGTCCATCTGTGAGCTTTCAACCCATTGCGAATCACTTCATTGGATGGAGTCGAATGAGGTGAACAACACATCCCCCACAAACAAAACCGTTGTTCTTGAAGCGATCTCAACTGCTGTTCAATGCTAAAAACTGAAGACTTCAAACTAGCCGTCAAATCTCTCAGAACTGCATCCGGTGTGAGCTCGTTGTGCTGCATGTCTTCATTGCTCTCACCGGGGTGATTGCCAAAGGGATGGAGAAATGAATCTTCATTCAAGTTCTCTAAGGTGATTCTGTCTTCTTCTCGGCCTTCTTCTTTGTGGGAGTTGGCTCTTCCCACGACTCGTCTTCGCTGGCCAAGTTGTGAATCTCCGGAGTCGGAACGGATGCGCTGGCTGCTGAATATCCCTTCTCTTTCTCCTTTTTCTCCAAGTCGCGGTGAGTCTTCTCGGACTTCTTGGCCTTGATGAGCTCTTGGCCCTCGATGTAGCGAATTGTCTTCTTCACAAGGCGTGAGTCGACATCGTTCTCCTTGATTCCCTCCATGCGAAGGTGCTCCATTGCCCGGACGACATTGGAAGGCAGGTCCATGTGAGTGCTCTGACCTGACGCTCCCTTCATTGGAGTGTACTGCATCCGAAGAGCACATTTTTATACATTTTTGACATTCCAGCCAAGGTGCGTGGGGGTTGGAGTACTGCTTGGGGTCGTGATGTCTTTTGCGTGGCCAAAAGTCTTTGCTCGCACGAGGATCTTGGGTGTGGACTCCCATGGTCCGAGTTGGGTCCAGCTCGCCCTTCGGCCCCTTCTTGGCTTTTGCCTTCGGCGTCACTTTCGCCGAAGTTGAGGCCAAAGCGCGCTCCACTGCCGCCTGAATCTTGTTCTCCAACTCTTCGGTGTTTGCCATGTTGGGTCACAGATTCAGTAGGCTGATTTAAATCGAAGGTCACTTGCTTTGAGCTTGAAGATGCACTGGATTGCAAAAATTGCCACTGCGCAGGTGAAACACACAAATGCTCAAACATGGAGTTCGCAAAAATGCCATCTGACTGTTGTGATTCTTGTACCACAAAACATGGCTGATCTTCAAAATTGGGCTCAAACAAAAAATCTAAAAGGGTCATCATCTGTTGTGACTGCTGTGCCACACGCGCTGATGAACGAGTTCGGTCTGTCCTCAAATCGGCTTTCTGAGCTCTGGCCGCAGGATGTTGTTGTCGCTGAACGGGAAGGTCCTTCAAGAAACTGAAAAGAATTTGTCTCTTAGGAGTCATTCTGAGGTGTCTCATCTCGTCCAAAACAACTGCATGACCATTGGAGAGGTTCACAATCATACATAGTTGTTGCATCTCTCTCATGCCCAACAGAACAGGAACACCCGGTGAAGGAAGTGCATACAGTTGTAGGGTAATGGAACCAAATGGAGCTTCACCTTGTAACTAGCCTGACCCCAAGATCCCGATCCATAGCGGAAATATGGCCGATCTTCTGTGACGACTGTCAAGCTAAGGTCCGGCCGCGATTGGGCCAAACTGTGAAGAAGGTTCTTCACAGCTGTCTCGCCACCGGCTGACACCGTTGCACCTGAATTGATGATAGCCTCTTCAGGTTGGATGGCAGCACGTGAATCCGCTTGGCTCACTGGGAAAAAGGAAAGGTCTGGTGAAAATTCTGTTCACTGGAGCATCCCGGCGTCATGGTCATCATGTGATGCTCTTGGGGCTCCATGAATATCCCAGCATGAGAGGAAGGTCTCTGAGACATCTGATTCCTATTCTGAAAGCTTGGACGCCCTGCAAAACGATTCTGTTGCGGCGGACGCCAGCCAGAGGAACCAAAAGGACGGTTGTGGTAGCCGCCCTTGCCATGAAACCCATGCCCCTTCTGCTGAAAGAAATTGGTCTGCGTCCGATGTCCCTTGCCCTGCATGAACGTGCTGGTGCCTTTCTGGCAACCGTGTGGTGGAGAACCCTTTGAACCTGAGCTCTTCCAGCCACGATCCTTCTTTGCTTCTTGAACTGCACGTCTGGCTTGCTCCAAGTTGCGCTGAGCATCAACCATCATGGCATTCAGCTCTTTCTCTTCTTCTTGAAGCTGCGAAATCACATGCAAAGCTTCCTCAGACTCTTCAGCTTGAGGATCATCTGCGGTCTCCTGAAACTCTTCACCATAGTAACCATCCTCAAGGTGTTCACCCTCGGGATAGTCATGACTACTGCCCCAATAGTCTTGGTACTGCGTGTCCTCACTCTCAAACTCTTCAACTATGTTTGCCATATGTCCTTTGCCCCGTCCAAAACCCTTGGGAGGATTGCTGATCCCTCACATACCACGGTCTTCATGGAGTGACAACAAGGCTGATCGAATATTCTGGTATCCGAGCTTGTTTTGCGTTGCTGTTTTGACCAGACTCTTGTCCAGTTCAGTGGCACTCGCACACTCCAACAAAAGCAATGTCCAAGGCCGCGAGTGGGATCAAGCCTTTCTGCATCAACCTCTCAATCAAGTCAAGGCGCTTGGAAGGTTTCGGAGGACTTGAACCGATTGGCATAGTGTGGTGAGATTCGGACTGCGATCGGGACAGCGGCGGCTGTGGCAGGTCTTCATCTTCTGCTTCTGCATTTGGTTCACGGTTTCCAGCAAAACGAGATGGGTGAGTGCTACCGCTCCCGCTCCCGGAGCCCTGAGAAAAAGCCCAATGGGACGTAGAAACTCTTGTCCGCCATGCTACAAAAATCTTTCAATTCATCTAGAGAGCAATCGTACTGGTCGAAATCCAATTCCTTTTCCCGAAGCAACCTTTGAAGGGCTCGCCACATGGAGTCATACAGCGTTTCTTCCCTAACCAAAAACTGAGGAATGGTTCCCTGTGGCTTCCTACTGAGTCGCCTGTAGTAGGCGGACAACTGCCGCCCAGCATCCGGAATTGGCTGCCGGTTCATTGGCGAAGCCTCCAAAAAGGATATCAGACGAGTCACAGCATCTTCTGTAGTGAAGTCCGCTGGGTCCAGTTCGTAGGCCAAGGACTTGAGGGAAGGATAATCGCTCTCCAAGATGCGACGAACTAATCTTGCTGCTGCATACGGTCTTTCTGAGGATTTCGTTCCAGCTAAATGCCATTTGATCTCTGTGATGTAGTGAAAAAAGGTTTCCGGTCGGCCATCCCAACTAGGAACCCTATTGAAGGAGGATCCCTGACCAACATCTTTGGACATCTCTCTGAGAAGCCTCGAGGGGACAAATCAAAAGGAAAAACTGGCCCTGAGCGTACAAGGCTCCGCGGCACCAATGTGTCAAACCGCCAAGTTGCGTAGGTTGCGAACGTCGTGCGAAAGCGGAAAGACGAGATCAAACAAGGAGGATCAAAACATGGCTTAGGCGGTCCGTGCCACCCCTTTAACGCTCCGTCTAAGTCTGAGCTCAAGAGGCGCCCCTGCGGGCGAGAACCTGAGTACCCTGCACCTGTGGTTCCGTAGACCACTGAAATGTGCTAAGGTTGGTAAAATCCGACTTCACACAATTCATGAAACACAGTGAACATGGCGTGCTGCTCAAGAGAGCTTGTTGCTGAAGGCTAGAAATTCTTGAGCTTAGCCTTCTGTCGGTACAAATACTCTCAAAAAAACATTTCCAAAGTTAGGCGACCGGACAGACTGACAAATGGGCCCGTGGCACAAAGGCCCAAAGCAATGTAAAGACTCTGAGACAGAGCAGATCAACCGTACACCGGCTTTGGCACTCTCTTTGGGGGGGGTAGGCCGTGCAGTAATGGGAGGTGGTAAGCGCTACTAGTAGAGATGCACAGAAAACCTTCGCATGGTCGAAGCGGTTCCTAGATGTTTTCGGAAACTGATTTGGGCAGGCTGCTGCTGAACGAAAGAGGATTGGTGTGCTGTGCGAACCCCTTGCACCTCTTTCTTGGGAGGACAGATGCTTGAACAATATGGGACATCCTTGTTTCATTAGTTTTCCTGAAGGAGGCAGAGAAGCGCGCTGAAGTGACCTTGCTAGCCATGAGTGACGAAGAACGGTATAGCTTGATGCAAGTGTCTTTGGCCTTGCTTAAACTGTGTGCCTCAGTGATCAATCTTTGCTCCACAGAAGGTCAGCTTGGTGTCTTGCACAAAACATACATTTCTTTGTTGTCTCAAACCAGCAGCCGTTGACAATACCCAGGGAATTGGCTGGATTGGCTTACCAACTTGGTTGCCATCACCTTTACCAGCAATTCCCAAGAGCCGGGGAGCTTGTTGCCAGTTATATATGAATTCCACAACATCAGAGTCAATGCACAATTCAAAGGTTTTCATGCGTGTGAAATTCAAAGGTTTGTGCAGAGTATTCTGTGAACTTGCCAAGTTGGATACTACATGGGCAACACACCGCCGATTCCTCGTCTGGGTGTGCCACCTCTGAAACTACACGATGCGGGGAATGGTTTCCGGAATATGCCGGAACCACTAGGGGCATCTGGATCCACTGCCACTTGGCAAAATTTGTTTTGTGTTCATCAATGAATAGTTGATGTGCATGAAAAAACTGAGCCTAGATCATGTGGCCCTGCTCATTGGCATTTGGAGCCACGTGGGACACGACTTTGGTGAAAGAGGCAGCCTGTTAAACAAGAAGAGAATTCAATAAAACCAATGCAACCTGTGGAAGTGCTGTGTATCACAGGTCGCAGGTGCAATTGGCCGTGAATACCGTGGAAAGGGTGCGAATGTTATTCTGGGCCCAAGTGTCCAGGCCCGCAGCGCAGTGTCATTCTGGGTATGGATGGACGTTTAATGGCGTTCCATCGCGGCGGAGACCGCCCACACCGGAGGGGTGGAAGATGGAGGAGAAGTGGCGAACAACATTGTAGGGATGTATCCACCACACCAAGTTATGAAAATAGGTCCACAAAGAGAACCATACGGTGAATAGTACTATGCCAACTATGCCTTAATCAATTCATGAAAACACGTCCACAAGCACGCCCTGACAAGCAGCGACTTATCTCACTGGCCCTACACCAAACGATCCACTTGCTTGGATACGGACTTGGTGCTATCCACTGGTTGGTCCATCTGAGTCCATCGACAGGTGCAAAGAGTGGCTCGGAATGGCCGGTGCCTCACAGTATCACCCATTTGCACGTTTATCTCTTTTTCTTCCTAAGGTCGAAACTTCGAGTACATGTCTGGATTCCTACCTGCAAGAATCTGCAATGTTTGTTTCGCGTTAAATGTTACCTTTTGTGTTGGATTGCCCGAGAAACTTTGTCCAAGTCTAGGAGAGGATCCATATTTGGGAGCGAAGATGTCAGAAGCCTATGTGGTGGGTGTCCAGGCAACTATTTGTTGATGTTGTGGGGTCTCGGATTTGCACAGTCATTGAATATGCACTCTGACTCTGTTACTGTCCAGGGAGAGGGTGTGATGGCTTGCTTAAAACATTTTGGCTTCAACGAGCAAGAGACGAATCGGAACTTTCAGAGCTCTGTGGTGGATGAAAAAACAGCTTGGGAGCTCTACTATCCTCCCTTCGAGGCTGGTGTGGCAGCGGGGGCTGCATCAGTGATGTGCTCCTACAACCGCGTCAATGGAACTCATTCCTGTGCTAACGAAGCGCTCTTACGGCGCGATTTGAAACAAAAGATGGGATTTCGCGGCTTCGTCATGACCGACTGGTGGGCACTTCACCATCCAGCAGATAGTTCAGTTGTTCGAGGCTTGGACATGGAAATGCCTGGAGCTGGTGGCGAGACATATTTATACAAAGGCGATCTACGCACAATGGAGGAGAGCCAAGCTGGTAACTTTACAGGGTATGGACTTGGGCTGGAGAAAAGCAAGCTCCAGCGAGAGATCTACAACGATCCAGCTTATCGGATTCTTTCAGCTGCCTACAAATTGCATTTGTTTGACTTGCCCAGCTGTACGCCAGGCCTAGATTGCGTGGAGCCAATTTTCTCAAATCAGCGCAGTCTCGAAGCTGAGAAATTGGCAATGCGCTGTGCCTCCGAATCTGTGGTATTGCTGAAAAACGAGCCTAGGACCGGGGAGACAAAGGCGCTTCCTTTGCTTCCTTCAAAGGTGAAAAAGCTGGCACTGATAGGAGAGGCATGGGTGGCACCAAGTCGCAGCACCAATGAGCTTGGAATGATGGGAGACTACTACAGCGGTGGTGGCTCTGGACACTGCTACATCCCACCTGAGCTTTTCACCTTGCCCATTGTGAGCATGTATGAACGTGCCAATAGTCTTGGCATTGACATCTCGAGCGCACTGACCAACAACATCACCGATGCAATGAATGGGATCAAAGATGCTGATGCCATTGTTGTTCTAGCGGCAACGACGGCAGAGGAAAGTAGAGACCGTGCATCTTTGCACTTGGACAATGGAGCAGATGATCTCATTTTTGAACTTGCCAAGCAGGAGAAGCCCGTGATAGTGCTGACACAGGTTCCTGGCACAATTTTGCTACCATGGAAGGACAATGTTGACGCTATAGCACTTATGTTTCTGGGTGGGGAGTTCACTGGCCATGCCTGGGCTTCCATCATTTTTGGAGACGTATCCCCATCTGCCAAACTCCCTATCATGCTTCCAAAGAATGAGAGCTACACTGTTCAGCCATCAGAGGAGTTTGACATTTTCTACAACGAAGGCTTGTATACCTCCTACAGATCAACATCGGCCAGTGAAGCTGCAACTTACCCCTTCGGACATGGTTTGTCGTACACAGAGTTTCAATATGCTACTCCAGCACTTCAGGATCAAGACTGTGAATCTCTTCTTTGTGTTCAAGTACTTGTGAAGAATGTGGGAGGGAGAAGTGGAGCTGAAGTTGTCCAGGGATATTTGGAGTCCCTCTGCTCATATGTTGTTGTTTCCGTACTTTTCAATATTACATTATTATCCAGTGGAGAGCATTCTTCATGCATTGCATGCATCATAGTGTTTTCCTTGCTATGCACTCATGCATCAGAGCTAAGGTTTCCTCCAGAAGCCGATGAGCCCAAGCTGATTCTCCGCGGATTTCAGAAGACCAGAGTTCTTGAGCCTGGGTCTTCAGAACAGATCTCCTTCAAGTTTACAGAACGCGATTTTTCTGTCTACTTGAATGGATGGAGGCTGCAATCCAGGGCAACCCTCCACATAGGTTCATCCAGTGCTGATCTCCGTCAAAGTATAGAGCTAGTCCTTCCACAATAGACTCACTCTGCAGATCTTCCACTTCCCGACATGAAACTCAAGATTCTTGAGATCGAGAATGAGGAGAACGCTTTCACTGCGAGCCAGATCCACGAAGGCAGTATTGTGAAATATCGCGAACCGCGAATGTTACAGTTTTCCCGAGCTATTGAAAAAGGCCGATGTAGAGCAACCAAGCATGATTGTACAGGAAGACGTTGTTCAATTCTGAAAAGACTGATTTTAGCCACTGGAAGCTCAACTTGTTCTACTCCAGGACAAAGCAAGAAGGAGCGTCAAACAACATACACTCCTCAACCAATATCAATGTCAATCAGTTTCTATTTGAACTTGGCAAGCCATCAGCGCATAGACAAAACATAGGCACTGCCACCAGCGAGTAGTTTTTGTTGCATTGAAAGAACTAAGAATGGATCCTGGCCGCATCCTGAGACTCTCATTTTGGCCAAGAAACCGAGAAGAAGGTGCTTGGGCCCATTTGAATTGATGCAGGTGGAGATGCAAAACGAAGAAGGCGACCTCAGTGACAAGTGCCTTTCTGACCACTGACTGCAAAAGCCTTGTCATCTGAAGGAGTTGCGCCAGTGCTCCGAGCAAAAGGCCTTGGCTGGAGGACTACAATTCAAAGGTTAGTGTTCCTTTTGGATGAAATGGACCTGCCGTTTGCTGTTTGTTTTCATGAGGAGCGCGACCTCTCCCGGGACAGATGTCTCACAGATGTGGAGCAGGCTGGGCTAAGGATACTGCACCTAACAAGAAATAACAGGAACAAGTATTAAAAAACAAAACATGTCAAAGTCTCAACAAATGGCTCACTATATAAATTCATTGTCAAGCCTGCTTCTTGCTCCAGAGGCCGTGGATAGGCTGTTGGGCGTGTCTGAAAGCGGTCGAGACTTGTCACTTGTCCTTTCTCGCCGGGTAAGGAAGATTGAAGACTGGACAGCATGTGGTAATTCCTTGCTTTAGAGCCAGCTGCCCACACCATGGCGTTCCAATTTCAAACGTACTTTGGGTAGCAAAGATGAAGAGACGGACAGGGTGATGATGGGGTACCCGGTACCCTGGCCAAGAACCTCCTGGCTAATGGTGAGCAAAGTCGTCATATACAACACTCGTCGATCACCGAAGTATATAGTAGTATATCGTGATAATTCTTGATTCACTTAAAGTGGTGGCCCGGAGCAAAGACCCATGCGACCCTTTTCACGATACACAGGCTCGAGAAGGTAGGTGGCTAGTGGACAAGCTCAAAGTGACAATCGAACATGCCAGAAGAGTCAGTTTGACTCACCCGGCACCTCCCCCAGGGCGGCTCTCTTGGCTCGCTCAGCTTTCCACTTCGCCTTGTAGTTGCGCTGGTTCTCGCGCTGCTTTGCTCTTTGTTCCTGCCACATGACGTCCTCCTTCAACGACCATTCATTGGTCATGAGGAACTCAGAGAGCATCTTGTTCCCCTTCTCTTTTGTCAAACCATCAGCCAACTGCCGGGGCCCAGGGACCCACCTGCAAAAGGAGTTGCTCGTGTCATCAAGCAAGGACTCTTTCAAAGCCAACAGGTCCAAGGCAGTTCTCCTGTCCTGGGGCAATGAGTCAGACTTCAACGTGTCGAAGGCCGTTTTGGCATCCAAGACAAGTAGCATCTCCCACAGGCGGACAAAGTGCCCCCATCGTTTGATGGCAAAGTTGTCCAACATGATCTCACCAAAAAGGGCACGAACATACTCTCCATGTTCGTAGGCTAAAGACGCAGCACTGGCCTCAATGGCCATCGAAGAGCGCACCACACGCTTGCAAGCTGTGCTCTGCCACTCAATCAAATTCATTTTGGCAGCGCCCTCCTTGATTCTAGGATGTGCCAACCCCACCAACCACCCTTGCTGTGATTTGCCCTCCGGCATAATGCCGTAAGCTCCATCTGAAGAAATCACCAGGAGCACTTCTGAAAGATCACAGCCAAGATCAACAAAACGAAGAGGCAAATCCTGTCTCAGGACTCGCACAATTGCATTGGCTAATTTGAAAAGTTTGATCGTTGGAGCCTTCATGCTCTGCTGCAAAAATGAGACTCCAAACAAAACGTCGGGTCGACCCTGTCTAGCAGCCCAGCTCAACTTGCCTACAATGGTTCGCAAGGAGCTAACTTCATCCGGAGTCATAGGTCGATCATCGGCCATGGTTTTCTCCAAGGTCACTTCCTGCAGATCATTACAGTACTCACTCATGGAGGTGGTGATCTCAAAGCTGTGCTCATCCTGTGTGATAAAGCGACCCAAAAGCTTGAATCCGGTCATCATGTCCGTCCAGCTCCCAAAGGTCAAACGCTGTTGCAGCTCTTGCCACACTGCATCAGTCTGTTGGCTACCAGCAACCAAGACATCATCTACGTGCACGGTGGCCATAGCTTCCAAGTTGCCACCGATGTGCAAGGTGAAAACACAAGGTGCTAGTTTCATTTCTCGGAAGCCCAGTTCTACCAAATGACGACGAAGACCCAAGTACCACAACCGAGGGGATTCGTTGAGACCAAACACTCCCTTCACCACCTTCACCATGTCGGTGCGGAACCCCTTCAGCTTGTCATTCAAGTACTGTTGTACTTCACTTGGCAACTTCCGAGGGAACCAAATGTAGAGCGGCTTTTCCCGGGGTAAGGGTTCCCCTTGCAAAAAGGCTGCTGTGATGTCTCCACCCCGGCCCCTCCATCGTTTAGCCACAGTGATGACCAAAAGAAGATGATGACCAAGGAGCTGAGCAGTCGGCGAGGAGGTCTCATATTCGCCAGCTTGAGGATCCAGATGACCTCCAACACACAAGCGACCTTTGGGCCCAAAAGCACGTTGAAGCCACTTCTTGTTGACAATCACAAAACGGCTCTGCAGCGTGGTGTCCTTGGCCACAATCTGATCCAGCTTGACCGGTTCTACTGCAGCATACTGAAAGTGAATGTCCAGTGCCTTGATCAATGCAGGGACCGTTAATCGCTGCTCTGTGGGTGTCATGTCCCTCCAATAGATTTCACCTCGTGGGCCAGGATCAGGGCCCGCGCGATGACCACGCTCTCGTTCTAACTGTGCAGCTTCCTTCTCAAAGTCATCCATCATGGCCTTCATACGGTTTGTTTCTTCCACGGAGGTCGATGAGCTCAAGGCCCACTTTTCCAACTCCATCTTGACTTCAGCGACAAGTGGGGCCAAGCTGGATGAACCTGGTTCAGAAGGAACTTCTTGGGATAGTCGAGGCGTCTTCAATGGCGCTTCTCCCCCTTCATCCCGTTCACGGACACATTGTTGGGTCGCATCCGTGACACCATCATGAAGTTGACGCCACAAGGTCTCCGCTCCAAGGCGCTGTAGTCCAGACCCTGAAGACAGTTGATTCGTGGTGTCATTCAAGATCTCTTGCCAGGTGTCCTCCTTTCCTCCTTGTTCGAAGAAGGTGATCTTCTTTGGCACAGACGCCCTGTGCACATCGTCATAAGGACCTGAACGGAACCGAGGAGAAAGTCCATCTAACATACGACATCGATCAGCTGACTGCCGGGCTAAGGTCACCACCTCCACGCTGGGTTCAGGAATCAACGACCCTTGAACCCCCTCTCCTTGTCCTGACTCCTGGGGCCCGGCCGCATCCGTGCCCTCCTCATCGACAGTCTCGGGCGGGGTCCCACCAGAAGCCGGAACAGGAGATATAACAGGGGGCCCGGATGGTGGTGGTAGCACCGGCTGTCGTTGGTCCTCGACCGGAGGTTCTTCTTCTTCATAGCCAGGAGCACGACGTTGTCCTGTGAGCTCCTCCTCCAAGGTCTTCATGGCATCAAGGATGTAGCTAGTGCTCATCTCCTCCTCAGGGGTGGCCAATCGCACATTCTCAATGGGCACACGCACCACAGATCCCTTGTATCTGACCCATAGCTTCGTGGGCCCATCAGCACAAGCCACAACGGTGGCGAAGTCCTGCATCCGTCGGTATTGTCCCGGTTGCTTGAAGAAGTACACCACCGTTCCGGGGACTAGTGCATCGGCACGAAGATGAGGTGGCCTGGATCGACTGTGCAACGCCATCCGAATGCGTTCATGAGCATCCAGCCAGTGGAAAGCTGCTGCGGCCTCTTGGCGTATGCGCTCCATGTGACCCTGCTCCTCACTCTCCAGGATACGGCTGTTGGTCCCGTGTTTGATGTCACCACGATCGATTTGAGCCACCAAGGAAGAAGGAAGAGGTTCATCTCGTCCTTGAACCACCTGTATCGGTGATTTGCCGCACCGTCGCATGAGCCGGTTCTTTGCTTGCACGCACATAGCCAGGGCATAGCGGAGATCTGTCTCACTAGTCAACACCAGCTCATGCACCACCTTCAGCATCATCAATTTCAACAGGCCCCCGTGGCGCTCGGCTAATCCATTCTTCCATTTGGCCCCAGGCGGCAGGATGTCAAGGTGAATGTCATAGAGCTGACAAAGTGAGCCGAATTGACCTCGGAATTCAGGTCCGCCGTCAACAGACAACTTCTTCATGGGTCCGTACACCAGCACCCACCGTTCAAACAAAAGCTCACAGCTATGCTTGGCGGCGGGATTCTTTGACAGAAGTGCTGTGTGTAAAGAGCAGAACCCATCCACCAAATGCGTCACACTCCAGCGCTCACCATTGGCATTGAGGAAGAAGAAGGAATCACCAGACACATGGGCGTTGAACCGCTCTGGATTCGTGGCTGTTGATTGTGGTGCCGACTGCGGTGGATGCACCCGTGCACATACTTCACACCGGAGGTCACGAGCTGCCTGCACCACTTCCTTCTTGGCCCCTTGAAGATGCAACATCCTAGCCAGGCGTTCATTTGAGGGGTGTCCCAAGGTCCCGTGCAACTTAGCGACCTGATTGCGAATGGCCTTGTTGATCCGGAGGCTCACCCCCCCAAACGACACATAGCCATAGCGGCTGCCAATCCCACCAAAGTCACCTTTTCGCTCATCCTCTTTCTGTTGAAGTTGGCGGAA